TATATATATATCTACATCCAATAATCTTATGACTTTATATATATATATATATATATGGCATGCATCTTATAGGGTGCTGAGGAAATTTTCGCTAAATGCCGTTGAAATAATAATAAATTAATTACATATTAAGGAGAATTCGCTGCTTATTTATTGGCATTGTGTGTATCGATTTGGTACAAGGTTATAATCGTGGATGTTCTTGGGTAATTAGTTAACGATATTTTGACGTTTAGAGAAATTATATCTTTGCAGAATTAATGTTTAACAAATAATTATTCATTTGTTACGTTAACACTGGGGGGTTAAAGAGATGCTTATCAACAATTCGCCGTACGTTTACATGCTAGATAATTCCTTAATTTAGGCTCTATAGACCCCAGCTATTGCAATGGGCATTCTGGATGGTTTCCGATTAGTTGCCTTTGAATAGATATCGAACAGATTTTCAGAGAATAGAATTCCTACTAGTGAGGAGAGCTTCCCGTCGAAGCCCAGACCTCTCTTTGATACATCGCCAATGCTATTTCGAATATAATACTCGAAAAAAGTAGACAAGCAGGTAACACAGTTGATTTTCGAAAATTTGCCATGTGCAAACTTTTATCATTGTTTCCTATATACAGGTAGGTAAGTTCTTTTAACAAAAATATACATATATATAATCATCAAAGGTGTATATGAAAGCTATTGCTTAAAGCTAACCGTAGGGTAGATTTGTAGCTTCATTATTGAATTAGTTAACTGTCATAAACGCACGAAATTTCATCCATTATAATATTGATCTGAACAAACAACCCAGTCGTTTGACTCAATGTAAATAGCTGATAGTTCGCATCCCTCAAAACGCTATTGCATCGACGACGTTGCGCGTGGCTGAAACATATTTTTCTTATATCATATCAAAAAACGAGTTTGCCATCTAATTGTTGAATCCGTCTTGCTTTAATTGAATCCTTGGCAATTTTTTTTATCAGTATCTTCGGTACTTTTTGCTCCACCTTACCGTTTGAGAAGAAACTGTTTACTGCCGCAGTGGGGGATTTCTGCTTCATAGAAATGACCTTTCACAGAGCGAAATGACTGCTAGCACCTCGGGTGGTTGAAATATCACATAGAATAAGTCATTCCTCAATCCAAATAATTAACTCAGTTCGTAAATGTGTTCGCTAGACGAATTAAGGCAGTCTAGTCAAAACGATGAACCTATATCATCAAATCAGTTTGAGCTGTTTGATGAAACGGTGCCTGCGCTCTGAAGCAGCTTTTAGTAAACAAATCAAAATGAAAGATCTAAATTTTTAGAATCTACAGCTTATCATACATCGTATGAATAGTGTTTCGCTTGAAAGAGTTGTTCACTTTTATAAGTGTTATTTTCTACTCCGTAGATATTTCACGACCATGCAACGGCTTTTCCAACCCATTGCTTTCGCCTAACTATTGATTAGCGTTGTACGTGAGACATAGCTGAAGCTCAGGATTTGCATCAAAGTAAGGCGTTGTGCTTAATTTATTCCGATTATAATATGCATCATAATATTAGCTCCAAGTCCCGCTAATTGTCGATGCTTATATTTTGCCTATCTTTCTTCGCCCTTTTCGACTTCATTGAACTTGCAGAATGTCCAAACTACTTAAATGCTTTCCCTTTTTCTCACTCACTCTCACTCGCATCTCTACCATAACCGTTATGACCATCTTGTCCGAACGCACGGTTCTAGTTAAACTGAAGTCAACCCAAAATGTTATCGTTGTTAATGACGACAAGTAGTTCTCACGCCTCGTGCTGTTTTCACCACAAGCGCATCTGCAATAATATACAGCAGCAACCGTAGTCGTTCATATTTTGATAATGGGTTACGGTATTCGTTCATCCATCTTTTACTGTGTCGTTCGCAAAGCCCACAGCCGCCACAGCGTCATCTGCCTAACGAAAAGACTTCGGGACTTACTGCTGCTGATGCCGTGACTAGCGGTTAGCGCTGAGTGAAGAGGAACGTCCAATCCACGTCGGCCAGCAGCATCTGCTGCTTTCCCCCTCGCCGTCACAGTTCTATGTTGAAATCCACGTGTCAGTTGTGGCTCGACCTGTTACATCAACGTCATTGTTCTCTTAATGGTGGCGTGGCATTACGAGAAAAGACGATTTTATCTAGCAGCTGCAATAACAACGACAGTGGTGGCGACTGTTTTAGTGTCTATGGTGCTCGGCAACACTGGCACTCGTTGGCGTCCGTCGTTGATCGTCGAAACAGCAGTAATAGTAACAGTAGCAGCAGCAGATGCAGGTAGGGTGTGCAGGAGAACGATTATCGCATTCTTAAAAAATAGAGCACTTTTCGGAGCAGCTACAGAATTAGATGTAGCAAGAACCGGTAGTTAGTAGTTGCGTTCGAAGTTGCCCTCAGGAAAGTTCCGAAGTGTGTGTATGTGGTGGCATGGCGGCCCAGCTGACGGTCGCTGCACTCTTTAGCTATTGAGCAATAGGGCCGTTAGTGTTTAGGTCCAGATTGGCAAGGAAACAGGCAAGTCTCTTGGTGGCCTCTTCGTAAGAACGGTATGAGGTTTGTGGAGAAGTTCTACGCTCAATCGAATCATAGAACATTAGACAAAGGCCAGCTACTCATAGCGGTTTCCCGTGGACTCAGTTTTTAGGTTGCTAACAAGTAGAGATTCCATGTGAACTCCATTGAAACACTTGATTCAATCCAGAATAGATACTTCTATAATCGTCTCAGATTAGTGTAATAACTAAGTACAATATTAAACGGTGAGAGATCTACGGCTAGAGAAGCTGATTTGAAATTTGTATAGTGAACCGCCGTTAAAGTTTGTTCGATTTAGTATGCAGACAGTATGAAATATTTTGCATTACAGGATGTATATTTATTGATAACAAAGTATTCACCATTTACCTTAAACAGGATAAAACAGAGCATTGGTTGGCTTGTTTCTGTCGTTTTGTTAGAATTAAAAGGCATTTTGCTTACAAATTGTCTGTGTTGTATCATAAGACATTAAATGTTGTGTTCGAATATGTTTGAAATATAATGTTCATTTTCTCTGTAGATCGTTTTGCGCGCAATAAAGAGCTAGCAAGCTATTGATCTGAAGATGTCGAAACCTCGTATGATTTTTGCCCTTGGCCTGATGGCAGTACTCATCGCAGCTGACGACTTAAAGATTGAGACACTCAAAATTGCCGACAATTGCAACGTCAAGTCAAAAAAGGGTGACCTGCTTTCGATGCACTACGTTGGTACCCTGGAGAAGGACGGAAGTAAATTCGATTCCTCACTTGACCGCGGAGAACCCTTTCAGTTTCAGCTTGGCGTTGGGCAGGTTATTAAAGGTACGTGTAAACGTTCCCTGCGTGTCGTATAGACGTGCCTAAGTGATTTGTATATAGCTGCTGTATAGCTATAAACAATAAGCAATCTTACGTAGACTATTATGTAGAATATCAAAAATTAGCGTGAGCCAAAGCAAAACATTAAACTGCATTTTGCTATGCGCGACCGACTCTTATACCGTAGTCGACCACTTGGTAGTCTATTACTCGACGGAGTTTAGAAACGAACTTAGATTCTGGCAGTACATGTAGACGACTATTAAGTTACAAAACGTCCTTTAATTGAAAGTTTTAAAATATATTTGCTATAGTTCCTACTGTATGTCCCAATTACGGCTTAATCGTTGATAGAAATACTGGGCCTAGGCTGTAGCCTAGATCAAACAAGCATCGATAGGCTCTCGACTCCTTCATGCTACATAGGGAGCGCTTTCCTATTAGTAAACTTGAGATTGTAACACGACGAGTACTTCTATGATAAACTACTATTTTTACGTGTATTAGTACAACATAGCCTTGTGCAAGAAGCCCATCCAAAATTTTGTGTTGCTCGCTTTATATGTAAGACAGCATATTCTGTAAAATACCGGGAGAAATCGGCAGTTACAACGTAATTTTATGTACTTTAAATCACGGCTGTTGTAAACGGATTGTTGCCAATTTCGGTTAAGATCCAGAACCGAATATTTATAATATGATTAATCTCTTTCAACTGTGTATGATATTCAATTGGGACAGGAAAAGTGTCAATAGGAGGTGTGGCAAACCTTTCTAAGGTAGCTTATATACAAACGTAGGTTACTTTTCGCTTCTGACACATTCAGTGGCCATTTTGCCGTCTTGTATTCCTTATTATACCGAATGTAATGCGTCGTGTGGATACAATATTTTTTTTTATTAATTACAAAAACGAAGTATTTAACTAATGAATTACTGTATCTTTAGTTCTCATATTAACCAGATGATGGGGCGCAGCGAGGGCAATTTTCCGCAGTGGTCCTTCGAGGACGTTTGATCTGTAGCGCGCACAGCGCTGCGTTTTAAATTTTTATTATCAACGACTAGTTATCATGATTTCAGACCTACGCGCTAACTTTCCTTTCAGGGTGGGACCAGGGCTTGGAAGGAATGTGTGTTGGAGAGAAACGTAAACTTACAATTCCCGCCAACCTAGGTTATGGAGATCGTGGAGCTGGAGAAAAGATTCCACCCGGAGCTACGCTCATCTTCGAGGTGAGCAAAATACTCTTTTATAGATATGCATACAGCCGAGAAGTTAAGAACTAATTGAGTGTAAATAGCATAAATAAAATTGCCGATGCATCGACAGAGCGATAGTATTCTACTGGAAGTGAATGCGCAAAAACATCGCGTAAAAGGGGTTCCAGTCCATAGTTGGTTCAGTCTTTAATGTATTTGCCTTTACAAAATGTCTTTGGCTACATAGCGGGTAATTATTCCATCTACAATATATACATGAAAAAAGTCTCGTCTTTTGTAATTCGTTTATGCGAACAGATTAGTAGCTTAGGTATGAGTATTTTATTTAATAGCAATTTTTTTATATGTAGAAATTTTTACATGTCTGCCGTTTAGGTCGAACTTTTAAAAATTGATGATGGCCCGAAAACCACAAATATCTTCAAAGAGATCGATGCCAACCAGGACAATCAGCTATCCCGGGAAGAGGTCGTGACTTACCTTAAGGTAACATAATAATTGCACTTGGTAATCACGATACAAATTATATGATTTATGCTTACTTATAGCCATTTGTGAAGTTCCGTATTCTTTACGACATGGGCGAAATCATTGTCATTTGTAGCAAATTCTGACAAGTGTCTCGTAACTTGTTAATTGGATGATGCCTTTTCATTTGCCCTGTTGCTACAGGCTCAGTTGCCTGCCGCGCAAGCAGCCGGTATCAAAGAGCTGCCAGATACCGAAAAGATGGTCGAGGACATTTTCGATCATGAAGATACCGACAAGGATGGAGTTATCTCTCACGCCGAATTTTCTGGCCCGAAACACGACGAGTTGTAAGAACCACCTCCCTCTCCTAGGCCTTAGTCCATCGGCCGTACTGGTTCATGCAGCAAACCGCTCGGCAAACGGTAAATCACTCACTGAAACTGCTCTGTCGACGTCGCGAGGTGCCGGAAGGTGATAGGCCAGATTGGAGACCCTAATGTTTTAATTTTTACTAAGCTTTGTTTTTCTATTCTCTAGAATTTAAGAAGGTGCAATACACTGGAAAACAATTAGGCAAAAATCACGTGAAATACGGTGCCCTTTTAGTGAACTGCGAGTGTCTAACGGTTGAATAGTAGCCTATTAACATCAATTAAATACAGATTGCAGTTTAGGCCAAACTGTTACACGAATATAATTGTTGCCGTCATAATTTGTCATACAATTATTTCCTTTTAACAAGATATAAGAACATGTATGTTCTAAAATTGTGAACTTTCCATTGTACCTTCTTACATTTTGTTCAATGGGGACGTTCGCTGAGGTTGCAAATGACTGTTGATTTTCGGTGAAATGAAATTGTTCTTTGTACATACTTTTTAATATACATTCTTCAGGTGAGTCGTGATGCAGTCTCTCTATTGTAAACAATTATAGATAGGCATATAAAAAGCGAGAGTAAGTGACGAGAGCAATGGCGGGTATAGCTATTATACTACTATTATAAATAACAAAAATAATTTATTTGGCTGAGTGGTAGTTAAAGAGGCATTAGGTGTATCAATTTGTGCTCGATACGACTAAGCATTAGCTGACGAAATAGCCAGTCATATATTATTGCTTAACTAACTCTGTTGCTTAAATGTCGTCCAATAAATAGGGCGTCTTGTGCAATATTGGCCGCATTAAACGATAGTAGGTTAAATTAAACCAATATTTACAAAACTTAGCATAAATTCTTACGCTACTGTTATATCTGGAACCGTTTAAAGGGAATCATCTAAAGAACGAGAAGTTTTCCTAGACCTTTGCGAAATCGAATAAAATGCATGCTTTAAGTCATTATCCTTAATTGAAGACACACACACTGACACAAAGACTATTACAGATGATAGTATTACAACACGTGGCTTCTAATAACGAGGCGTTTGTATTCAATGAAGAATAGGGAATAATAAATAAACGGAATGACCACAAAATAGACAAAACAGCTTTTATTTTTAGCAATAATATACGCTTTCTATACCTATATCTCGTACTTGAATAACTGAGATGTTGATTATTTTTCTGCGTACTAAAGAAGATGCTAACTAATATATTCGCTTGCACCGAGAGTCGCGTAGATGACGAATTATGCAAAACTGTAACACATTGCAATATCAACTTATTTCTGAAACAATAACTTTCAGAAATAATAACTTATCGATCCCACACATGTTTAATGCAGCTATGAATATCGTCAATTCAACCCGTTGAAGTATTAGGTTGGACAAACATCCAACATTCTCTTGCTGGATCTCAGTGGCTTATAATTCTGCTCGTGCTAGGTTTAGCATTGAACAAATGGCTAAGTAGACCAGTAGCTAGCGTTAGTAAATAGGTATGGAAAGTCGTGAGAACGAGCTCTCGGTCAGATTTAGCCTCGTCTAGATACGTAAATCGAATTCGAATAAGCTTTGGTAAACAAGGTAGGACACAGTGAGACCAACAATATAGCCTTTAGGTAAAGCTCGCGTGTTGCTTAGCTGTACATCTTAAAACCAAAAATTATCAGCAACGTAAAAAAAGTTGCTTTCGAGGTACCGTTCGATGATATGGGGAAGCAAGTCATTCGTATTACCGCTGGATCAATGTCAATTGCAAGACATTGTGAAAACAACTTATTCGCCTAATAAATCCCAGAATTAGCAGACGTCAGTGTTTATTGATCATAGCTTATCGTAATAATACTTTCTTCCATCAAAAAGGATAGATCAACTAATCATGCAACGCGTTCGTCTAGAATATTAGGAAAGCACGTTAACCTTGCTGGGACAAACAACGAGTTTTATAATTACAAATATCACCTTCCTTCTTGATGGCAGAGTGCCTGATAAAATGCCCAAAAACGATACCGAACGTCAAACTCGAAACATATAAGTTGGCCGTGTCCCTGTCCGTCAGTATGTCCACATAATGGCTTAATCAGATTTCTAATGTCTCGCCTTCCACTGTCAAAGGATCAACTAGTCAATGTTTAGTTGTTTTCAATCATTTAATTCCTCTACTGAAATAGATATGCGCTATCTTCCACAGTAAATATCATGACAGCTCCGTTTAATGCTATCGAACGCTAGCATTTTATTTTACATATTTTTAACATGTTTTTTTTTTATTTCTGGACCCAGCTAGTTATCGAGCTTTCCAAAAGGATGCAAAGAAATGCATTCCAATATGTCGATTTCCTAATTTTCTATAGCTATGGCTTGTTTCGTTTGTTCTTGCCAAAAGCAGTAAGTAGCGCACTGTGAGTGCTGGCGGAATCAACTGAAACTTTCAGTTTCAATAGTGAGCATCACTTAGTGGTTATTGCATGCATGAGCCAAGGTGTAATTCATTCGTGACCACCGAGCGCTCTCGTATGCATGCAGAACTTCTAGCTTATCGAGTCGGCGTCGGAATTAGATTCAATCCGCTTCTGTGGGCTACTCTATCCGGCTGATCGCCGCCCACAGAATAACGGCTCAGTCGACGAGACGGATCGAAACAAGCTTATCATAATAAACATAAATAGAAATAATTCGGCGGAAATAAGTGGACTAACTCCCTATGTCTTTCGGCATTTGGCATTTATACACAGCAAACAGAAGGCTAGTAGCAAACACATGTGACATGTTCACTTTCATGGTTGATTGCATATTCCCTGGGGGCCTCAACTGAAGGTCAAACGCTTGTTGCATATGTAAATACATACAGGGCGGATCACCAGACGGCACGAAGGAGAATATAGTTCATTTACGGTTGAATGGACTCCGATCTGTTTAGTTCTAGCTTTTTCTATTTAGTGCAGGCTTTTCTTCTTGGTGTACCAGAGGGAGCTGCATATTATACGAACTACATGTATTATATACTATCTAATTTACAGATATTTTTGGTATCAGAGAGGCTCTTTTCACATACGTGCTACTATTCATAGCACTGTTATTGCAACGAAAATTATCCCATTATTTTTAAATGGCAATTCATAACTAGTACATCAACTTGAAATCTGAATAAATACCTAAATAGAAGTCGGCACTGTAGATCAATGGTTCTAGTAATGGTTCGGCAAGTCGCAGAGTCAGGCTCGAATTTCCATCGCGCCGCATCTATTCTTGCTCCAAATGCTTCACTTTAAACCAAAGACTCATTTCGAAATACTATGGCGGCAAAAAAAATCCGCATTTTTTTTAAATAGAAAGGGAAAACAGGATCTAGATTGTTCTTAAATTTTATATACTGCAGACAGTTCTATTGTCCTACTGTAAATTTAATTAGCCTTCCGCACAAAGGAAGATTCCAATTCAAATATGTCTTAAGAAACCTGCACTTTAAATACTAGAAGGTCGATATTGATCTATATTTCGGGGAATAATCCAGATGTTTAAGGACAAGACGTAAAATTAATATCGATTTTTTCGACACGAGACATCTTTAGAAATAGCGTCAGGACAAAAGTCGAATGCTGTCACATATGGATGAACAGATCTGAAGGGTATGACTATAAAATGGTTCTGAACTTAAGAAAATGTAGTTCATCGCCTCCGTGGAGAATGAAAAAAATATACATAAATCAATATATTCGTTCATTATTGCTTACCGTTGTAAGCGGCAACACGTCCATACGGAATGGAACCTTTAGACAAACGATTAACCTCGAACGTGTTTAGTGTGAAAAAATGCCTAAATTTACCGCCACTATACGTTTCATTGTGTTATTTTATTTTGATAATCTTGCTTTATGTTAGCGTTGCCAAATTCAGCGTCGAGTTTTCGTGTCCAGGCACTGTTGAGGTTTGTTTGTAGCTTTCTCGCATATGAGCTCTGTCAAACTCTTGGTATTGTGAGAGTCGTTGTCCGGACGCTGCAAATTGCAACGCAGAACCGAGATAAAATAATAATAATACAATACAATAAAAACGTGTTTATTATTATTTACAATAAATTATCGAACGATCATTGTGGGGACTAAGTGTTCGGGTACTCTGTGCGAGTAGCTTGTTCGGGTTTACGAAAACTTGGCACAGGGGATAGTCGATTTGGTGGGCTGGGCTAGCAAATATGCTGCAGCTAATTTCATTATAATATGCACCACCTGCTTACCTAATAGATGATCTAGCAATTTACAACCTCATCAATGATGACATCAGTGGCAAAATCTTAATAATTGTTCGCATAAAAACGTACCCCATCGATGAAGAAGTAGGGCACCCATGGAACAACGCTATCATTCGGACTTACGATGGCACCCGCCATTTGACTAATGTCTGCCATCAGTTTAACAAGTGCTATTCCCTGTGGACCTTTGGCACATTTTTCCAGTTGAGCCGCCATCCCTGGACTTGTACACTGTATAATTAAGATAAAATTACAACTGCATGTATATATTCCTGACCTACTATTTTATGATGATATTTAATAGGGAATAGTCGTTGTAATAGTTTTAACAGTGTAATGTGCTTCCTACCTTCTTTAAGGCACGCGGCAGTTGCATCCTGTAACCCGTCATGGTACATATTACATACTCAAGGCGCTCCTGAAACATAATTTTCGTTGTTCAGGACGTAACGATGCTCTAAAGAGTATAGAAAATTTAAGTAACTAAAATATTTGCTTATGTTATTTCTATAGAGCTTTAAGATTCTCTAGTATAATTCACTTAAGGTGCCTCAATATATATAGCCTATATGACTATAGTACGTCTACCTTGAATCCGTCCAGTGACTAGAACCTAATCGAATGGGTCAAAGAGGCCCAAATCGTCTGACAGCGTTAGTTTCATATATGATGGACGGAATCAAGCTCAGCCATAATCGTACAGATTCCCCCCATCCCAAAAAAAAACATTATATACTTAGAAGCTTTCGACGACTGGGAAATTCTCAACGGAACATTTCGCCAATTGCATTACATTTATGGAAAATGAAACAGCTGACGACATTTTGTACTCTGTTTTAATCATGCCAAAAAAATTAACGCTCCTTATGTGAATGGTCTCCAATAATATATGGAATGAAGTGGTGAAACCTAAAATACACAGTACCCGACGGCTAGAAAACCTAGTGAGTTTGAGAAATAAACGAAAGCAAAAAGACGATATATATCAAGGTTTAGATCTAAATAATAAAGACGCCTTACTGAAAATACATGGTATTTAATAGGCCAAAATTGATAGTGTGCATCAAAAGGGTTTTACTTACCTTCGGGCTCATGTAGAAGTGACTACATGCATGCCATGCGTTTCCAATACACTCGTCAGGACCATGGTGGCAATAGAAGTTCACACTGCCGTTCGGTCCAATTTTCATGTCAGCAAATCCATACGGTACAAGACTACATTTTGGAGCAATGAGCATAAAGGTTACTCCAAGTCAGCTGATCATAAGATGCTTTGATGTGGACGCTTTCCTACTTAGACGATGGATACTTTTAATACCAACTACGCAGAGCACAAGGTTCTGTAAAAGCTCTTCTACACCACTTACAAAGGCACCTCTAATGTACCAATTCGTCAAAAAGGTCTGCTCAATACGATAACTTTTCAAACAGAAAAATTAAGGGAGGTTAATTGTTCAAGCTGTACAGGATAATTGGTGGAAAGAACAGTTTGCTAGGACGGTCAACTTCATACGTTAATGACGGTAACGCAATCTGGAGTTCTTAAGTATGTTCCATAATTCTAGAATGAATGATATACCAATGACACAACTGAATGACGCGGCGACGTACCTGACAAAAATGTCACTTCCAAACTTGGTCAGAGCTTTTGGAAGTTCCTGACTCATTGTCATCCTGCAGCCTGGACATAGTGTCTCATAGAGGAGCACCACATTTGGCACCGTTTGTGAATGGGATGTAATTAGCTTCGCGAAATAGGCTATAAGTACAGAGATCTAAAGTTTCCTTGTATTAGGGACGGAAATTTAAGAATTGCTTGGTGCTTCCCAAGAAAGGATGGCACCTTGGAAACAACTTCAATGAAAGTATTCGGACCTTTCCTTCGCCATGAAATTATTAAAGCGCCCAATTCCGATCTTTTGAATCGGGTTGTGTTCCAGGTTCCCGAACTATATCCTGTTAAAAACCATTTCGTCACTACAACCCCTGCATATACTCAGATTACCTTTTATTTAGCAAGACGAGCGGACTCTACGAATTCTGTTCGTTTTTTTTCCATATAGTCTATATATAGACAATAAATCAGACTTGATAGCATCGAAGAAACACCCTGGAAGTCATTATTGAGTTTTGCTTAAATTGTTCTTAGTAGAAAACCTCTCCCGGTAGACAAACACCGCTGTATCTATCGTGTTCACGTTACAAGAAAAATTGCAGCATTGAACAAAAGCAGATTGTTGTAGGGATTAAAATCATGAATGCCCTACATTTACGTCAGATTTTACAAAAATCCTTGACAAACAAAAAAATGTTTGATAGGTCTAATTTCTCATATTCACTCGCTTTTTGCGAAAGACAATTTTTCTTAGGAACAGCCGAAGAACGCAGAATAAACATTCGACTTAATCAAAAACTTAAGCGTAATCACATGATACAAAATTACAAAAAATCACCATTTCTACCACATTAACTAATAATAAAATATAATAATAACTTTATAAATGTTTCCTGAAAGTCATTACATTAATAGCTAACTTTCGATCCACAACTGTCACCGGCTGCATCACACGTTTCAACCTAGACATGACTCAACTTAGGCCCTACCGCATCCACTTGTAATTGAATAATCAAAAAAACTGGTCGTACGTAATTTACAGATTAGCTTCGTAGATTACTCACGATAAACAAACGGGTGCGGTCGTTCGACATGACGGTCAGGGACAATTGAACGTCGAACTCTGTTGGACGACCGAAGCTAACATTTTAGCGAAACGCAGATCCATATTAAACACACCAGACAAAAGTGGGAACGAAATTTACATTGCGGAAGCACTCAGAGCAACCCTTAACGGATTCGCCTTAACTATGCGACCCTTCTCTATTTACTCACGGGTACGCACACAATGTATGTAGTAAATTCTTCTCTCCATTATCAATGAGCTAAGTTTAGTATTAGTTTTCGCAGAAGAGCACTTTTTGACCAGCTATACTATCTGCTATCTGTGTGTATATATATATGTATATAGAATGAATTTGTAGTTCTTTCCCTGGCGACTTATGACATGTAATGAGCCACTGACGTTTATATGTCGAATCAAAGTTAATTCATTTATTATCCACAAAGACTCACCCTTTTTCACACGCTCTTAGGCTCCAAGCAGTTCAAAACTAAGCAGCCGTCCCTATCATTTTCAACAGGATTACAAAGGCAACGATGTGATAATTAAATGGACGACGATAGACTGGGGTCTTTCCAACAGTGGTTACGCAATTCAATTGCTCAACCGTTCACGAATCCCTACAGTTTCAACAAGGTTTATCGTACCTTTCATTTACTCATATATAGATTTTTACCCCCGTAGCGACAAGGACTGTGCCTTATAATCCCTTGTGTATACAGGTGAAGCTTTGATAAACATAGGCCGGAACTTTTTCAATGTTTTCAGTGTCAATTTGAAAACTATTTTTTAATAGCCATTTTAGTTTTTTTAGTGTCAATGAACTTTGGAATTACACCCGTACAAGGCAAAATTAAAATTCACTTTAACAGACATGCCTTACTCTCTATATATTTTTCGTAACATTTTAAAGATTAAAGACGAACAGGTCTAATTAATTCATTAATCCAGCATTCTTAGCAAATATACCATATTTTTCCCGGGGCACACACAAAGAGTTCCGCGCCTTAAAGTTAATCGGCGGAAACTGTTCGCAGACCCATTGGCGTAGTAAACAAACGCAACAGGGCAGTTCGGCAGTCTCTTGTTTTTATTGTATCCATGCACTGAAATCGAGCTCTGTCTGGTTATATCCGCATACATTACATGTAGTAGATGGTGTCCGGTTGCGGTTCGGAGCACGCAATGAAAGACTAGCAGCTTGTTCTCTATTCCCTGCATAGTATCGTAGTTATTTGGTGTCAACAAATTGTGTATGTGCTCATGCCAGTGGCATTTCGAAAGGGATAGTACGTTGCGAGCTGCGCCTTTGACATCGGCTACATAGGGCTAAGCTTCAATAGCGAAAACGCTAGAAGTCTGCCAAACTGGAGTCGAGTAGGCAATCTTCCCGATCGGGCTCCCGCCGTGTGGCAGAGACCCGCAGTCGCGCTAAGGATGATGTTAAACGTGTTATGCAGAGCGTCGACAAAGTCCGCAAATGGTACGTAATTGGCAAACGTGCTTTCATGAGACTCTTTGAGAAAAAGTCGTTGATGTGTGTAGCAGAGCACGTACTTTTACCAGGCTTAAGGGAACGCTAGGCAAAACATCCATACCCGGCATAGATTTCAGAACTAAAATTCGGTCTCTCTGCCTGCCTATTAATTTTGTTATCATTAAACAACTATGATTGTGAACTGTCCACTCCATATGCGTGTAGATGCTTAGCCAGGTACGTTGACATCGAAGAACTGTGCTGAAGTGACGAGGACACTGCTATAACCAGGTTGCTGGTACGAGGTCTGATCTTCAAACTTGAAATTGTTTGTGTTGAATTTACCTTTTATTCATTTTTGTACTAGATGTAATAGATTTGACTTGAGATAATAACATTCACTACTTAAATACACGTTGAATCTAGATGTACTATACAGTTTAAAGTCATCCATTAAACTGCACGTATTTCCAGCTAGTGTGCGTGATTAGCCGCAGAGGCAATATATAACAAACGTTGTGGAGCTGTGAAATTCACGAATCGTTTCACGTGCACTGTCACCGAATACTGCAACGGGAGAGCATCTAAAAGTGCTTTAAAATTGCCTGACTTTTAGAAAATCCGCCGTTGTGAACAAAATCAAACATTGTTTTTTTTATTCATCATCAAAATAAGTTCTTACAATAGTTAAAAACGGCACATTTTCTGCAACAGATTTGCACACTAGCGGAAACTTGTGCGCGGGATAGGAAAAAGGGTCTTCTATCGTGAAGGGTGCCTAATTTCAGTATCTGATTTTTAGAACTTTCAAAATCTGTTGTACAACGATAGGAACTTCCTTCCTTATGTAAACTCACATTATCACCGCTTCTTCCTTTGTTTGCGGCGAAAAATATGCCTCAGCTACACAGATATTCCTACTACTGTAGAAATGTCTAAACTTGACCAATAAAAGCCTTGCATTTGTTTCAATATACGCATCTGGACTTAACGCATTCACCATACTTGATAAGTAAAGCCTCTATGTTTTAGAGATTTTAAACACTCAACTAATGGTTCTGATCACACTGCACGTTGCAAGAAAGAAAGTTTAAAACACACAATATGTATCGTATACCCAAATTACCAGTATAAATATTAAATAGCAAACATTTATTTTATAACTTATGTCGATTAAATGCCTATTATGCGTAGGTATTAACATAAAATTGCTTTTTTTGTCGTTTCGGAAGCACCTATTCGCATCAAGAATCAGAAATCGGCACCCCGTGCTTCAATCTGCGAATCTTTATGCAAACGATTCTTAGTGGTAGTTCGTGTTTTATTTTGTTTGCAGGGAAAAACGATGGCTAACAATTGGCGAAACGACGATGAAGGTTTATAAATGGGTGCCTGTCAAAAGCGACGCGACCAAACCGAAAAAAGCTGGTTCAGACGCTCAGGACAATAAAGACAGTAATAATAGTCACAAGGAAAACAGCAACAGCAACGCACCGACACCAGAAGCAGAAACGCCATCAGGAGGCGGTGCGGGCAGTGGTTCAAGTGGGGGTGGGACAGATGACAAGGAGAACGGAAACAACAAAAATCAGGCGGACAAAAACGCTGCTTCTTCATTAAAGGCCAATAATAACGGTGGGTTAAAAAGTGGGAATGTATTGTATTGACGCTTCTGTTAACTTTCTCCTGGAGTTTTATGAATGAACTTAGTTCCAGCAAGGCTTCATGGCCTTGAGTAGCGCACAGTGATTGATAGAAGTGCAGTTTTTGACTTCGGAAATTTTCTACCATTATACAACTTTCCAGCATGCCAAACATGTAGCCACAGGTTCGAATCGAAAGTTTCTGATAAATTTGAACAATATAACCTACAAAAGCGTTACTGTTACCATAGAATATGCCTATGAAGGATCATTCCAGAATACCAAAAACATCTATAATGGTTTAAAAGCTGTTGACCCTATGGAGCATTTTAAAATCTGTTCTGCTTGAGTTGAAGGTATATTTTCAGTAACCTGAATACTATCCCGTGTGCACACACTACCAGCGAGAGCCTTAGCAAAGTATTTCTATTTGTGTGATTACCAAGTTATTACAATCAACATATTTTTTCGCCTTCTTCACCTGTCAAAGTAAAAAAAAACGGTAAAGGAAAATAAACAGTCTAGCAACAGAAATAATTTACACAATACTTTTTTGTTCAGATGTCTTAACATTTATGGTCTTCTAAATAAATGAGTAGTACTATATGTCTTAGCGTACTTGATATGCGTACAATATTAGCAACAATAGATGTTAGTTGATACATGTTAAGCATATTATGCATTCACAAGCCTCACCAGATATACTTTTCTCGCTTGCTGATCTCAAGGTTTGTTTATTTAAAGTAATGTTTTATACTGATATTTTGAATTTCCTTTTATCTTTTTGATTTCTATTACTGAACTTAGGTGTCATCGATGAGTCACTGACTGGGTTTTCTGAGTTCAGTCAAGACTCAGCGGATCTTGCCGGACCCAATGGGTCGTCTTCATCGGCACCAAGCAGACGGCAGCAACAGCAAACGACAATAGGTGAAGAAAATTCGACTGACGCCCAGTTCCCGAGTGGAGATAACAATAACAACAACAATAACAGCAGCAATGATAACATGGATATATGAAGCTCATGGAAGCCTCCGTGCACTCCCTCACACATAGACCATAATCTGCTCCATGTATTTCTGTGTAGAATAATTGTCTCTGATGATGAGATGGATGGCTTCTGAAAAAGATCGCAGTGCGGGATGAAATGGAAGAAACCCCCGTCACATGTGTATACTTTAAACCTTTCATCCTTTGTAAAAGGTTCAAGTGACAGAAGAATGATCTACGACTAAACATAATGCGCGGGCCAAAAACAGAGCGGGCACTAGAACCCGCCGAAACAATCGCACACGATAATATATAAGCTAAGCCCGTTTTCTATTGGTAAATTTGTTACGAAAGAAGAGAATTAGCTTTATTCCCGCCAACATTAATCGCGGGTGATTTCCGACAGTAATAGCCCAGCCTTGTATTAGTACCGTGGTGGAAAAGTTAGGCACCACGCGTGAGCAAGTTTTGGGGGTTTTGATATATTCGAGAAATTGATAGGAAATAGTAGGGTGTTTCTAGGGGGATAGGTATAAATTTTATAGCTGTCTGATGACAAATCGCGGGTAGAAAGTGATTATCGTAAAAGTGACTGCTGTGAAACTTTGGCCTGCACCTATTTCTCGAAGGCATCAGGTTATAGTGTATAGGGAATTGTGATTATTATTAACTATGATTGTGTTTTAGTTAAATGGTAGCATGACAGCCCAGCCACGGATCTCAAAATTAGAATTTGTCCTGTGTATGCCTAAGTTGCCCAGCTACAAGTGTGTGTTTGGATTCGCATAAGTGTATTGAAGTAATGAATACAGAACGTGTGAAAAACCTATTTTCCCTCATATGATACTGATTCTAATTACTACTATATTTTGCTAATACAGCCTCACGAGGAAGACCCTATTTTTATGTGACACGAAATACATGTATGAGTTATGCAGCGCGGAGCCAAGTGTGTGCTAGCATTGTGTCTAATTTTCTACGGGAACGTCTGTCTATGGTACTTGTTGTATATACTCATCATGTGAAAGAATTAAAAATTAGTAATTGTCAAATAGAAATTCGTCTATTATGTAGAATTAATTATCAATTGGTAATTTTATAATAGCAGTTATTAAAACTATTATGATTAATTTCTCGATCGTATTTAATTAACGAGTCATAGAAGTACTCCGTTACGAAAGGTCATGCGTATTTAATCTGTAAGCGCATGTAAAAAAAATCGTTTTTGCTGACAAAAACACGTTGTCAGTAAAACCGATTTTCTAAGACCGAGATACGGAACGAACAATTTTAGGCCTCAGCGAAAATATCCTGAGCGAGATGATTAGCAAAGTGTGAAATGCATGTAGACATTCGAAAATCGCTAGGAAATATAAAAAAGCTATTGTATATAAATCTATACCTATGGTCATTAACGTATTCCGCCTCGGTTTACTCTATATACACATCAAAGATATTGTACCATTACAGTCACTGGTTAGGTACCGTTCATCAAGAGCGATATCCAGCCTATTGTATGAATAAAGATAATAACATTAATAATTTATCTCTTAATTGGAAAGGTGCTATCTTTTATCCAGATAATCCTCAATTAGGAGGAAGTGGCTTTCACGTGAGGCATGCTATTGATAGAGAAATGTTGCTTTTTTGGTAAGAGATCTCAAGCAAGTATGCTACGTTTAAAATTCGGCCAAAAGATGCTTATAAGCTGCTTCAAAATGAAAACAGATCCCAAGAAGGATTTTTTCCAACAGGCGGATCTCTAACCGATTCGCATATTTAACGTGACTGCTGTACACTTTCTTAGTTCGAAACCTAATCAAATGACAAGTAATTTCCACTATTTCCTTCTCTAAATTCATAACGCGACGTGGTATGAATACACCTAAATTTGTTGAGTTCTTCCTTGAAGAGGCAGTTCAAAATATACTTCAGTCTAGGCCGTCAAATTCTCCAAAAGTTCTGCTTTCGGTAGTTCTCAAATTGTGGAAATTTAGTGTTAGGTTAGTACCGTTTTTGGAGCGACGGATTATCCAAAGGCTGCTTCATCATCTGAATCTTCCACAAGTGGTTAGGATTTTTTTCCGGACAAGAACTGAAGACTACTTGATGATTTATCTCAAAGTTGTTTTAGAGGATAGTGCTTAACTTTCATGGTGTAAAGCGTAGACGTGATGTTTTCCTAAATGTGATATGCGCTGTTTCAAAAAAAATTCCGGGTTACGATACCAGTACTATTATATATGCGCCTTTTTAAAGAGTTTTCGGCTTCTTTGAGATATTTCTATAGATCTTTTGTATTGAAGCATAAAGGGCTTTTTTCTGATTCTTTGGAGGCCGCGCGGAGGTTGGCAACAGCATGAACAGTCGGTTTCAGTTGACCCCGGGCGTTTCTGGTAGAGGTTCGTCCAGTGCAAAGATATTGGATAATGGTGTATTGACGCTTAGATTACGATACGAACTTCGCGTATAATGATGGCTCATGACGATTTTTGTAATTGTATTTTTAAAAAAAAGTGATTTTTAATTCTAAGCAAAATCACGCTCAATCATTAATTTGGAATTTTGGAGCCTGTTCTCTAGTGGAAAATATCTGAGTAGCTTTTCCTCCATAATTTGTGCGAACGTTAAAGCAATCGCATAAAATTAATGTAGGACCCCTTTTCTCAACAAGCAAAGTCGCTTATTTGTGAAATTACGAACTCCTTAGATTTACAAAGCAAATCGTTAGATATGCTATTGTAATTCAATATACGAACTTCAGACATGAAAGCAATTAATTTACATCGCTAATTGGTGATATCAGTATGCCTAGATAGTTTATTATCAATGATAACACCTATCAAATAAGCAAAGACAGATGTCAGCCTATTATAGCTGCAATAATGACGTGGGCAACTCTAGATCAATGCCCATGGCATCACGCTGAGAAGAAGTCAGTGTACTCTGAGCGTTGCTTTGGGTGAGTGCCTGATAAATACATATAATTTGGATATCAATTTTAATGAAGGCAATCAAATAAAAATTAGTAGCGGTGACCATTGGCATGCAAGCTTAGCTTTATAAGCTGAACGTTCAAAGATGTCCAATTTAAAAGGATTTTAGATATTTCGACCTGCTTTTGAGGCTTCTAATAAAGTCACTTTTGAAAACCTGCACGTAGGTCGATGGAATGGCTAAGAAGGAACGCTATTCATTTAACTGTTCTTTTCCTGGGCACCTAAGAAAATCAATCAATAATGGTTAGTAAGTTTCGAAACACTTACGGGGTTGTCTAGTTTTTTAAGTTTTATATTTTTAAAGTCTTTAAAGGCTCTGATTCGTAAGCTTTTTATTATTTTACACATCTTAAGTGTGTCTGTTCGCGCAACCAAGCGTTAATTTCAAGTATTCTAAATGGCACAAGTTAACAACGATTACAGTTATCGTTATTGTCCTTACTACCAGATAGATTTTGAAGGCACGTTAGCCTGTTTGTCTGTTCACGGATTTGGTTAATAATTTTTTTTAGATAAAACACTTATATAAGGTCTGCGACTGCGAGTACATTTTGCTTCACCATGCTTTCTGTGGAATCGAGGTACCTAGACGTCGCTGGTACCGACGTTAACGCTTTAAAACTTAAGGAGGCTGTAAACCGTGTTTTGTTATTAAAAGGAGGGCGTGCCTAAGGAGAACACAAGGTCCACTTTATTCATATTCTCCATTGAAGTCTATTACGTCTAGCTTTGTCGTGAAGCCATACGGATGAAAAAGAAACGAATGTACGCGCGAAATGAAGGAGTGAGGAGGCGTGTACTTGACTAAAATATCTCCTCAATGTAAAATTTGAATACGGCTTATAAGCCCAAGGAAGTGTTTAATCCATGAGAACTGAGTCTTTGGGAGTTCAGTTGAGTTAATAGATGACATATGGATAAATGCGGTGCACGCAATTCATGAGTAAATTGATTTTCTATATGACTGTTGGTCAAGCGAGGTGAACTGAAAACCGAACAGATCAACAATAAAAACCAAATCATCATACAAATTGTAATATCAAACGACAAAAAGAGCCTTAGAAAATAACGCATTTAATAATAAGCAAGAGAACTGAATAAATAGATAGTCAAGTGGTCTGTTGGTATATAAATAACGGACTAATGACTTGTGAGAGATGTTAACAAATTGGCTTACCTTTGTAATGGCTGAGATGACAAAGAAAATGCTACCATAATGATAAAAATGCCGAAGAATCATACTTGGAGTGCATTATTATGTGGCTGAGTGCGCTCATTACATGACATCCATAAAAGTGTTCTGCGAATCTCAAGAACCAGAAGCTGTGGATTACTCTTGGGCAACAACGGGCCAAGGGAAAAACTATTCCAGTCATTTCGGTCAAAAGCTGCGTTCTGTCCCAAGAAGGATGAAGACAACGCTAACTATATCACGATAGCTACAATATCACCGATTATCTTTGCGAACAGAGCTCAATAGTTTCAATGCGAATACGTGTTAGGCTTGGTTATGAAAATATAAGGATTTCATCGGTAAAAGAAGTAAGGAACTAAGTTCAACATTCTGATCTAACCCAGACAATGAATAAGAGAGGTAAACGTCTAAAGGAAAAAGAGAGCCATGATATGAGCAGACCACTTCCTAAATACGTTTGTGAGCGGTAACATCTCAACCAGCTAATTAAACTGACTACTTAGTAATCAATGGATTCTTGACTTAAAAATTTAGTTTCAAATATTAATACAATTCCGAAGATGTTAATACAAATGAATGAACATGTTATGTCACATGCTTTATGTTAACCATGTTTCAGTGCACTTCATTTTTTATTTATTAACTAACTTACATTCGCTTTCTTTTTTTCTAGCAGCTCTCATCTAAAACAGTATTACATTGTATCGGGCAGGTGCTTCGTCATGGTTATTTTTTTCCTTTGATTGCACAAATTAGGTCAAAAGGTAAAATTAAACCAATGCCTAGCAATTCAGACTGATTCGGTTGATCCACAGAAACTTGCACAAGTGTAAATCGCTCCGTTAAAACGGGATCTATCCAGTCGGGTAAATCGCTGATCTAATTATAAGATCTGACGTATTCAAAATTGATTGGTTGTACAAAAAAGCATTTTGCAGCTAGATGTAACAGTGTCACGCGTGCACAAAACAATCCCATGAGTTTAATTCCGGAGAAAGGGCAATCCTTCTAGTAACATTTTAACCACAACATTTGGCTACTCAGTTCACTTTAAGGCACCCCCTGAGACAGGGGATAGATACCGTTAAACCTTCTTATTTATTAAAAATATTTTACTTAACGCATTACGGGGTTTCGATCGCGCCATATCGGATAGGATACTCGAATCTAGTACAACAGCAAAAGCGGAGGCGCAAGTAGCGACTATTTTTCTGAAATAAGCAAAGATATTTACTTTTTTGAAAATTCTTGACCTCAATTCTTTAAGCTAGATACTCGTCTGTTTTGCATATAACAACCTCTAAACTAAGCATATTATGCCAAAGGCTATTTCAGATTTCTCGAAGCATTAGTTATCTATTTGATACTATATATATATATATAAATCCATAACGCCGAATCAAAATCGTTTTGACCGTTCTTTTAGTATGCTCTATTTAATACGTAGGCCTAAATACAGGGTATGTTAGCAATGACGTCTTCCTACGATCGATGTTCAACAACCTATGAGGCCTTTTTACCAGCGCAGCTTCTTGGACAACCGTCTTTCTATAAATCCGTGTTAACATGTTAAATATTTCGTTAATTTGTATAAATTTTCTGGATATAGAAGAAACATTAGCATTAGTTCATAGCCAACGCAGCTGTTGTAAGCAACCCAACATAAAGCTCAAGAGTCTATCGTAGTATACCATTTACTCTGTGCACTAGTTTTTCACTCGTTTATGTGGACACAGTTTTTACGCCCAGCTGCATATCACAAATGAGACGAATCACATTCTCATTAGATATGAAATTTCATTTTCCAACGTCGCCATAATAATACGAATAACAAAAAAAAAACACCCTAACAAAGTGTTGTAGTAGTGGATGATCCTCACTTAAACGTATTTTTTAAGTAGTGCCATTTCGAGCTCTCGGTTTCGCCCTTTTATAGTTCGGAGATGCGCCTGAAGAATAGACTCGTGACGGCAGTAGCGGAAGTAGGTTGGTACCTGCATGAGGAACTTGCGTGAAAATATGCGATTTGATGGACCGTTGATGAAGTCAAAAGCCCTGATGCTCTGGGCTGGACCGAAAGTATTTTTTCCGGGATCGAACCTGAAAGTAACAGTAATATTATTGGAAAGAGAGTGTTTGCTGACTGTTTATTCTTTCTATCAGTTGTTTGCTGCTAGTCAAGCGTTATAGTCCATCTATTCCCATAGTCTCTTTCTTTTTTTCTGCAAATTTGCTTTCATCATTGCAAACTACAATCGGAGCGGTGCAATTTAGTGGCAGCCTTATGGAATGGAAAAAATTGTATGAGAGTTAGTGGACACTGGAAGACAACCACTCAGACAGTTTTCCGAAGAAAAAACTGATGTTGCTTAAGCAGTTCCTCACTCTCGTTAAGATTCAGGGAAAATCAATTGCGAATTTGTCCAACCTAAGCAAGCGTTACTTAACAAGGTGGGCCTAAAGCTTTATTCCTGTATGTTGTGTCAATGGCAATAAAAACTGTAACCAAACTGTGTATTACCACTGTCCGACTGCGAGGTAAAGGTTCTCATCATGCCCAAGCTGCTAATTTTCGTTACGAGACTACTCTAGTTTCAACGATAACAACGTACAAGGTGGCGAGTTCTTGTTAATTGTTGATGATAAAGATATTCAAAAGAAAGTTAACGATTCTTCACCAACACGAGTAGTGCAGTAAGAGATAAAAATATTTCTCTTGGCAGTGTCGGTTGTAAGAAACGGTTCGATGTATGTACTCAAAAGCTTAAAGCATAGCATAGAGCCCGACAAAGCCAGTCTCGCCGCATTAACAATGAAGCCACAATGAGCGCCTTGCACTATTCAAGGAAGAAGCATCTATCAACATAAATTGATGTATTAATATTGATTAAGTTCTGGCTCAAACTAGGAAACCCGGCTGGGACAAGAAAAGCAACTATTTGAAAGCATAGATCTTAAATTTCTTTTTTTCATACAGAGCCGAAAACTTCTTAGTACTAAAACGCATGCGCTAGAAATTCTTTCAAAAATATTAGATCTAACGGTTACTACACGATGAACTGATCCATGTAAAATTGACTAATTGTATTCTTTATATAATACCTGATGAAGAAAGCGTTACCAATCCCGTCCTCCTGGATAACAATGTATATTCTATTCTCGAAGCGGAAAAACTTCCGAACCCGCCCGGGCCTGTGACCTGATACTCGCTGAATATCTCGATCTTTCACTCGGAAGTCGATTAAGATGGTGTCTTCAATCTCTCTGGTTTCCAAATTGACGACATGTAGCCTGTCACCAGCAATACAACAACGTAATATACAGCATGTACCAATAGAAGCCCAGGAAATATCAATAAAAGCCAGGAAAATTTACTTTGTTATTAAATCCAAAATCCAAGAACATACAAGTTATAGTTAATATTTGTACTAATTATCCACAGAAAAAACTTAAAGTATTGGCTGAATACATATCTACTGAGCTTCACTCACCGATCGTTAAAGAGCTTTTGAATGACTCCACTGCTTCTGTCTTCATAGACGTAGATTTTATTGTTGACGTGGATAAAGCTTACGAGTTTGTTGTGGCCCAGTTTTTCTGGAATCTCGAGTTCAGTGAGTGAATTGTCATGCCGATCTGATATGAACATTGTCTGGTTCCGCATGATAAATACGACGTCCTCAAAGAAACTCATTTCACGCGGGCTAAAGCGCAACTTTTCCGACGGAACTTCATAATAGTCTTCGATTTGCTAACAAAAGAAAAACAGTGAGCTAAAATGAATGAAATTCTTAGACTGAGCTCTACGACGAATAGTAGACCAAGTAAGAAATCGCGGGCACGCTGACTAGTTGCAATAATTCGAACATGTTAATTTAGAACTAAATCATAATTAGCCACATTGACAGATACCTGTGAAACCCTATTACAGCTGCCTATACACAATCGTACCTGATTACAAAATCAAAATAGTCGTGGTCTGTTATCAATGCACGTATAATAATCTTTTACAAGCGTTCTAACGGGTAAACAAAAAGCATTGCCAGGCAATATCCAGAGACAAGATGGGAGGACATGCTAACCGAGCCTTCTTTACTAGATAATGTAATAAAATCAGTAAGCCGTACACCGAATAAGGAATGTTATTAGAAGACAGAATATCTATCACATTGTGAAACCTAGTTTTATGCCTTTTATGATCGTACTTACCTTCCAGTCCGTTGTGTCGCAAGCATTAAATTTAGGAGGCCGACCGAAACCATTGAAGTAACTGATCACACAACGTGAACCATCGGAACAAGCGGTAAAGTCAGACAGTGGCGCTTCACGTTTGAAAACCGTTCGATAAGTGAGACGGCCCATTATTTCTAAGCTCTCCACCTTCAACTCTGTCTCTTCTTTATTTTGTGTGATCTTGACTATCTGGTTGTCCACAACTAGAAACTCGTAACTACAGAAGATTAAAGAAAGGCTTAGTACTATTAGAGTCATCTAATAATAATCATAATGATAACGAGCAGTATTTGCTGCATAGTATTTGCACTAAAAAAGTAAATACACAAAAGTAACAGCTGTCCAGCTTTGTGCTGCCTCTTCATCAGACTAAGCTAAATTTTATGATTTAAAATATAATCTCTTCATTCGTATTATCCTTGTATATATACGATACAACAGTGGAAGTTACATATGACATGGATGCTTTTTAACTGGGGTTGCAGCTGGCAAACGTACTTTTCTGAATAGATCCTGTGCTGGGAAGCATCTATGATGTAATTCGACAGTACATAGTTACGAAACCGCATGCACGTCATGTGGAAGTTTACAGGACCGTCCGCACTGCCCATTTCATCCTTCCAAAAGATATGAACGTGGGACGGGCAACTGGCCCGAAACGCTAACTGCTTTTCAGGCAGATCGGTGAAGTTACGTTTCACGCAGGTCGTAAACAGTGGCTGTGCAACAAGCGATTGTAGATGAATTCAAATATAAACATATTGTCCTTTTACTATCTAGGATTCGAAGACATGTATTCAAGCGTCATTTGGAAAGCTATAGTTAAAAATAAAAATGCTCAAGGCTTAATAGGGCAATTACATACCACCTCAACTTCGTAGCTACTGAGCATTTCCTTAAGCTTTCGCTCGGCCATCGGGGTAATATGAGGCAAGCGTAGGCACTCGACAGCACATCGAATATCTGCTTTGGAGCGGTCAGCTGCTCTTACCCATTGCAGAACCAGATCGCATGCCTTATCCTCAGATTCTACCTGTTGAGCACGTGTCATCAACAAGAACAACAGTTGTTCGTGAATAAATCGTACTATGATACGAACGTACATATTAATATACATAATTTGTATTCGCACTGCCTTTGACATGCAAACAAGATTTCCAGCCACGGATGAAAAAGTCTTAACTCATATTTCTAATACTTACCAGCAGGTTGTCATTGGAAAAAACATCTTGAAACATATCTATATTCATCTGAGATAGGAGCGATTCGTCTTCTAGAATTTCAGGAGACCGACAGATCGCGTCGACGACAGCGAGAGTGAAATATTCGCACCCGAATTTCAGTCCTAAATCATACAGATCTTTTGAAAACTGTCGAATTCTAAACCAACAAAAAAGATTCAAAAATAACAAAATTTTAGTAGAGCTGGATAAATGGCGGCGTATAGGCCAAGAAACATACGAACCTGTTGCGGAATGACGTGTGCAGGCTTAGAAATCATTCGAGGTTTACTGGCTTTACCCTTTGTAGGCTGCCGATCTGTTTTCGTGGGAGTGATACCAATGTTTCATATAGTATAAAAAAAAAATGTAGGTGTAACCTTCATATTGAATCATTTAAAAGCTTTATTTTCGGAAAGAACGTGTGGTTTAGGGTAAGAAGTACCTTAATGGCATTATTCGTGATCAAAGTGCTTTTTGTGATTTTAGATTTTGTGTTTTACTGTTTGTAAAAAAAATCTCTAATAATGTAAGCATGGTTTCCAGACTACGTACAATTTTTTTGTGTTGATTTGTCGCGACTCATGTAGTCGTCATTTTTTTTTATGATAACCCATTGTATGCGTTATTATATTGGTCCCGTTTCGAAATATGGAGACATAATATATATTTCCGTCCATCCGTATGTTTAAAATTGACGCAGTCTATACTCGCCACTGAAGGCACGAAGATATGTATTTGTGATTCTCTTCATCTCACTTTACTTTGCTATCTAGAAAATGTACATAAGAGCACAATTTATGGGAGACAAGTTTCAGGAGTGTTGTCTTTTGTAAACTTAAGGTTGAGTCTCATTGGAGATATGCGTGGTTTATCGACGACTTATTTTCACTTACAGGTGCAGCAAGCCGATAATCTACCCCATTCCTACCTGGTATCATAGTACCTACGTTAATAAAAGTTCGAAACGTCACGCAAGATGGCGGTTCTATAATGGACTCCGTTAAATCTACTCAACGAAGAAACCTGTTGAGGCTAGCAAGCGCCAAGAGGTTTCAGGATAAAGGCCATTGACTTTCTAAAGTTGGTCGTTGCTATTTTATTTCAAAAAAATAGTACAAATCTAAAGAGCTACTATTATCCAGGATCAGCATTAGGATCGAAAATTTTGTTATTAAAAACATAATTCGTAGGCTCCGAGTAGGACGTCGAGTTTCTTGAGTTTAATTATCGATACTAATTGAGTTTTATTAGAATGTCGTCAATAAAAGTTTCGACGGAAGTTCAGTATCACCTATTATAATGATTAGTAATTTTCCATAAGTTACAATAAACATTGAATTGACTTCAACTTTTGCTGATAATGATCTAAGTATAAAATGGTAAATAACCTTACAAACCAAATCGTTAGCTTGGGAGTGTAATACACCTACCGTTGACCGATGAAGTAGCTGCAGACATCTACGAGAGAATCCATTTGGAGATAGTGTGCCACCTTGTAAATCTGTATTGCGTTATTTTCGTTTAGCGTCACCTCCCCACTGTATGCATATTTGAAGACGGATGTAAGAAGCTCATCTTCAATTTCTAACATTACCTCATTTACTTTTAATTCTCTCATACCGCTACGGCAAATCGCTGCCAGGTGATCAGCGATTTCGGTTGAACAGGCACAGAAATGACAGCACACGTTAATCCAATGGCAGTAGCAAGTCAGAATCAAAAAAAAAAACAATGAATGAGCATCCGAATGTATGTTTCTACTTCCTTCACACTGACACAATTGTACAAAATAATACGCATGAAAACATTCCCATTCTTGGCATTATTACATGGGGACAATATATGATATGGACAGTGACGCATTTGTGTTACAGTAACATGCATTGCAGAACAGGTTCGAACCTACGCTCTTTAGTTTCCCACTGTAGTAACAGCCAATAATTATAGAAACTATTGGCACCGCTATTGGGTCAAAGTGATAACTTTTTTCTAAAGCCGAATCTGTTAACTGTTTCTTCTACTACAGGCTCCAAATTACCGTTTTGTCGCATTGCTTTGGCGACCTGCTGTCAGGTTAGGTGACTCGTAATACAAGTAACCCAGAAAGAACTCCGTGAGGGAAAGTAGAAAGGTATCTCATACTTTGTACTGAGATAAACTATTTTCATAAGCCTATTTATTAGCACTGCGAAATATACAGTCGTACGGTGGTTAAGCAACGGAACTTCTCATAAAGAACGAAGCGAACCAATATCACTGAGAAAAACACAGCGGTCATCAGTTCATCGTATTATGAAGCTTATTTATGAATACACTTTGTGAAGCTTCAACGTCTTCTTACCTTCAAAGTAACCACACATTTTTGCTAGAACTTTTTTATTGATGGGATGCCGCGTACCACTTCGTGAAATCACGAGCATGTCTGGAGGCTCGTTTTCTATATCACGTTCTAATTGTGTTATCGTATCAACTTCCTTTTCATCACATTGCACGAAAAGCCGCTTCCACAAAGGAATATTGAAAGTTTCCTTAGCAGGAGAAGGTGTTTTTCCTCTTTTGTTAGATTTCTCAAAATTACTCTGAAAGCATTTCGAAAATTGGCCAATTGAACTGAATTTTTGAGCAACACGCACTGGACTATGGAAGACGTCATCTCTACAGTTTCTCTGATGGGACGATGTGACACGACTACTGCGAGCATGTAAATTTGCATTGACATCAGCTGAAGCATTTTGATGAAAATTATCTTGAGATGAACAGCGCAGTTTTAAATTTGGTGAAGTATCTGCTGCTCCTTTGTCATATGAGTTTCGGCTTCCGTTCGAATGGGCTCCATTAGGAGCTTTATTACGACTTCGAATAATATTACGACGCTGCATCACACTGAGGCTCTGTTCGCGAGAACTTCTGAAATTTGGAATAACAAATTTTTTATTATTATTTATACACATTTAACACATGTTCTTACTATTAACTGCGGCCACTAAGCTGAGTTTTTCAACAGCTTGAGCTACTTACTCGACGGTCGTTGTATGAACTCTGGAAACGCTGCAAGAGCGCAAGTCACCGTTAATATTGTGATCTCAGTAAATGGAAGCGAGCTACGCTTTTCAATCAACAGCAGGTGACAGTTCATCCAGTTAATAAACTTGACTGGTTAGCAGAATATATCAGTTTTGACAGTTATGACTTGAAACAAAGCCTCTCATTTAATGCTAAAACTACTGTCATTATTTTTACCATACCCGATTAAAATGTGATCCTCAAAAATGTTCTGTTTCTTAACGATCGTTGACGTACCTCTTCGATGGTATGATGTTCCATGGCAATGCATATGCGTTTAAATATATTAACCTTAACAAAACTAAGTGGTCAAATTGACCCATATAATGGGTTTAGTGTCAATTTGCAACACGCTCGCAAGTCTGCAATGTCTAAATCAAACTGATTCAACTCGATTGCTCTGCGCTATAAACCATGAAATGAAATTAAATTCAATAGTTGCGTGTCAGAACAACAGCTAGGGTGCTATATCGAGTAAAGTTTTGCTTAACTCAAGCGGTAACGTTATTCTCCATTAGGCACGGCTTGAACTAATTTTCACTAATTTTATAATTGCTAAAAATAGCCTCTATTGGGCCAGTCTGGCCCAATGCTTTTTACTACGCAGCAGTGCACAGAATAGAAACACGGTAAATTTAAAACGTTAAACTGCCTCAGTTTTTGTTAGTACGAAAATCTCTTTACTAGGAAGGAAAACGGCATAGTTGCAATCACTTCACAGTTCCAGTTGTAATTTTTTAATATATCGTGCTATATATCCAATTAGCCCTTAATGATTCTCAGTTTTAGTAGAAGCATTGTATATTTACGCACGTAAAGTGTTTACATGATGAGCCCTGCCTCGTCGCTACACAGCAGCGCGGTCTTGGTTGTCATCACATGCTAACACGATAATAAATTACTCCGTATGCCGACAGCCACGTGCACCGTGCTTTAAGCACCACTCAACAGTGGGAAAGATAAAAATCGGTAAGAGCATCTTGTGGAAAGAAGAATAGTTGATTATACTCTAGGTAGCCTCTCATCTATAGATAAGCTTGACATGATTAACGAATAACTTTTCGAGAAGAAACTAAATGTTGCTTGTGGCTAAGAAAAGGAAACTCTAGATTTTATTATCTATTACCTCCATTAAGTAATATCCTCATTGAGAGGCAGCTAGCGATTAGCTGTTGAGCCGTTAATTACAAAGCTTTATCTAAGGCAGTAGATGGAGGTGTGTCATGCATTCGGAGTTCACATTACTCGTAAGATTCGACAAATTTGCGGTAGAATTTTACCACGTAAGATATTTACGTGAAGACAGAAATGTTGTTTTGTTGGCGTTCTCAATAATCATGTTAAAGATGGAATAATCATTACTGTTTCGTACCAATTTAAGGCGATGCGAAGAACAATTAAGAAAACTGTTAAAAAACGCCTTCGATAAAAAAAAGAGACGACTCTATGAACATCTATGTAGCATGGCGTTCATTTGTCAGGTTTTTTTAGATAAAAATTGAGATCACAGATTAGCACATAAAATATGGTTAGCGAGTAGACAAAGAAATGGGGAGAAGATCCATCATAGATCCTGCTGAACAAAGTGGCCACCAGATAATAAGTACTTCGTTTATGCGGAACACGTACCTTCCAGAGGATCTTCACGCTTTCTTTCGAAAAATGCGCGATGAATTTGCTCCTTCCTAATTTAGTGGTTCACCAACGATAAGAAAGCTGCAAAGAATGGACGAAAAAAAATTAACCTATTTGGAACACCAGTACAAATACAAACCTTGGTAGGGTATATATCTTGCTTGACAGTCATATAGTGATGCGTAGCTCACAGAAAACATACAAAATCACATTAAAAAATGTATCTAATAACGCTTGCCGCGCAAAACCAATGAGTAGTTTGCAGAAATATCGGCTTTAGAGTTCTTTTTCGACATTTACCACAACGCACAATGCACAATTTGCAAAGTTAACAGACCTCACTCAGACTTAAAATTAACAAACGTATTCCTTTCTGAGCTTAACACACTATTTCACTCGTGCAATAACAGCAACAAGGCGGGGAAAAAGAACGATGTTAATTTTAAAAATTGCTTAGCAGTGGCCATTATGAACGGTGCGCGATCAATATATAAATGGTATTACAGCAATTGCCTTATGTAGGCCATACGCCTCTAAAAAAATTAATTAAATATACACAGATTCAACAATCAGAGATAGATAAGCTAGATACGTACTTGCTGTTATACAGCGTGAGGCAAAAGTCTTGGTATAGTTGAAAAAGTTGTTTGAGCGTTTCATACTTCGACACGTTAAGCTATTCGGCAGTCCACATGTCCAAACAGATGCGCATATATATATAACGCGCCATAAGGAATTGCTAGTTGAGTTCGATAAGAAAGTTAAGGGCTAGTCAATTGCATTATTAGCGTACGTTGCTTATGTAATACTATTTACTGTAGTACGCATTGAATCAATGCGTAGCTCGTACATCAGCTAAACCGTCCATCTGTATCGAGTAGGGAGGGGATGTCAGCCTTGAAACTTGATGATCAACTGTTCTCAAACCGTGCGCTTTAACTGCGGTTGCAAAAGTTCCGTAACGTATATGTGTGTCTTTGAATATGTGCATATATATAGTTAACTTATTCGAATCACCATACGAAAGTCGTAGTATGCCGCTCTAGTTCGAGTTACAAAAAACTGCTAATCGTTTTTTTATTAGCCTATTAGCACGTTTGATAAAAAAAATATTACGTATATCATTTAAAAGTGTGCAATGGATAATTTGAGAAAACAAAGCTTGTTGACCTGGTAATCTAAGTGTATATCTATTATCACACAGTAACTTAAAAATTTGTCGTGTATACAACATTGAAGCATGTTCACAAAAATACAATTATCGTTTATATTCGGTCAGTAAACTTTGAATTCTATTTGAAACAAAATAGTTTAATCACATCAATGTAATAATATAACGTAACGCTTATTCATTTGGAATTACGAGAGAATCTAACTTCTTAAAGTGTTTATCCATTTTAATTCACTAGCAATTTGAAATCTGTGTCAACCTTGGCGAAACAAATAATGCAATGAAAATCTATAAAAAGCAGTTTCATAGCTTTTTATTAGTAAAGTGTTAACGATGTACCAGAAATGGTTTTGTTTGGCTGAAAAAAAATAACACATCATTAGAAGTGACACTTATCTCTGCCTTCTGTCATTCGCTTAAACATCTTGCAAACTTGCTTCTATCAACAAAGCTAGTTAAAGTATCAACTTGATTTTCCGATTCAATGATATACAGTGTTTTTTTTTTTTTTTTTTTATTATCCAGCCTAATTGCTGTAATATAGCGAATACAAAACAAACTTGTATAGATGCTAATTAGGAACTTTGTAGGTTCTCTCTTTTCTAGTGCACGGGAATCGTTCAGTCAAATGAGGTAAATCTCGTTGTATAACAAAATATTTCAATCTTATCGCAGTTCGCCCGTATATAAACACGATGCCATGGTCGGTTTTGTACACTACATTTTATAAGTCGGTTCCTCGGTCACTAACCTTTCATTAGAAACGTATGAATAACAACAACAGCATCGCTATTAACAGATATTTCAAATTTAGAAAATTTCACACGTCAACTTAAGTACACATGCATATCAACGTCTGCTTAATGAATGCTTATGCCACAACCATATATGTACAATGGCAGATGATAATACAAATAAAGGTGAAAGTCACAAAGTTGTAGATTTGTCCAGTCACGGTCAACGTACAAATCTTCCAATAACGCTTACTATAAGGATAAATAAATTTAGTCGCCATTTTTTCGTAAACAATGTCCGAACACTCGCTAAAGTAAGCGACTAAATGAAAGAGTCAACATCTCTTGAGCGTCTGTTTAGATCTGCAGACGACGAAGCACATAAAACGTGAGAGGTATTTAACCCGCGATAATATAGGTACTTCATTGACGTATAGCATCGCTTCTTCGAGAATGTGCACTTTCATTAAGTTCAAAAACTTGAATTGCCACTGAGCTTAGCTTCTCAAGCCACTTTTTTAATCGAAATATCATGATATTAACAGGAAGAGGAAAAATCACATGTTTTAAAATGTACAACTAAAGTTAGTTAGTTTTTCCAAACAACCTTAATCTGCTCTTAACGCGTTCCTTTAACTTTTTTTAGTGTTTGTAAGCAAAGTTTTAAGGCCAATTTAGCACATTCTTTATGACCCCCGCATGTAATGTTTATGACTGAGCGTCGGCTACAATTTAAAACCCTTTTGCACGGCCTCTATCTGGGGATACAACTCTAAAATCAGAAAAGAGGAAGGTAAATACTATACAAATTGGATTTTAGGAACAAACCAACTGCCACAAGCATATATATATATATATGCTTGATGTTTTTTTATTGAACAAAGTTTAGTTTTCAGTTCAATGATCCCTCACGATGCCTGGACAAAACTAGTTCTCATATTTAAAAGGCAGAGAACCCTACAATTTCATGATCATGGGTAAATTACATGTACAAATGTATATATGCTTATAAAAATTAAGTAAAAGTTTATTAAAAACAGATTTTGCTTATATCTACTTTGGCGGCACTGTCAGGCGAAGGGGGTACGTCGACCTTAAAATTGGCCGAAATAAAATCTTTTTAAAATCTCTGTGTCGAAGCAGTCCTTGGCAAGTATAATAGCACTGAAAGGTAGCATGATGAATTAGGTTGTGCTTGAACGGAAAATGTGCTTACGTGAACGAGCCATATATGAAAACGTATGAAACTGAATATCCATGACTACGGCACAATATAATAATGGCCCAATCGAAAAATTTTGGTTCGATTTACAAAAAAATAGTTGTCCAATTGCACCGAGCATACAGCAGGCTTTGATTACAGGTTTACTGGCCAGTGGTCATACTCCAAGCTATCCTTTAATAGTGGACCATACAGAGCTGAATTTAGGCCTGTTATCAATTAAAAGGGCCTTACGGTAGCATTAAAAGTTGCCAAAATGTTTGAATGATACCGGTTCCATTCATCTCAGACAAAAGCTTCTTTTGAGAATTTCTAGCCATTTATGCACTGGAACATGTAACTGTATAGATGAAAAGCTCTCTTTTTATTATGAAGCGAACTCTTCGTTTAGGCTATCTTAGGAATTCAGCCTCCCTCCCCCCTCCCCAAGGAACAAGAAATTTTGTATTAAAATTATTAGCAAAAAATAAAATCTAACTAACAACATTTTTATTTTCCAAGTTTGACTGAAGCTAGTTATAAATAATCAATAAAAATTATAAAAATGATAAATACAAAAATAATAAATGAAAAACGAAATTATAAATTATTCATAATGTGGACTGAAAATTATACTAGATATAGCTACATTTCTTGTATTATAACCTTATACAGGATTTCCAGTTAAATAATTTTTTTTTATAGTATAGAAACTGCTGCTAATTATGTGTATTAACTGTAAGAATTCGGAGAAATTTCGGTAATGATTGGTGGCTAAATGAATTTGCAATAAAAAGTAACGTCTGCTATACGTAAATGCTACCAGAAGAACATATAACCATATTTCCAAAATTGAAGACCCTACTCCATTTAGTATGATGAACACACGCTTTCGTCAATTATGCGAGGTGCCATTATAGACGACTAAAACTACAAAAAAAAACACAGTGAATAGTTAAACGAAATATTCACCTGTCTACAGTAATAAATAAGCATACAATCACTATGTATTGTAAGCTGGGGCCTCATACAATGAAATTAGTACAATTGAAATCTGGACAGAACTTAGATATTAGAAGCATAATTTTAAAAAAAGTCTCCCTTAATCGTTTTTATAGGTCTTTTCTTAGCTAATTCTCGACTAGTAAAGCTTCCGGCTCTTATAACCCTTCGGACATTGCTCCGGTTATCATAAGTAGGTGGGCGCGTTTGACTGCAAAGCCACGTTATCTGCACGGTTTTGCATTTAGTTCACATCACGGTTTCATCCGTAACGATATCAGTTCTACACTAGAAAGTCATACTACGTACATTGGTTACCGAAAGCTAATCTACAACGGTATAGATCACAGCAGAGTTCATGATTTCGCACTCAAAAGCATACCGTAGCTTTGAATAACGTATAAGTGAAGGAAGTATATTGCAATGGGTAACTATGGTTACCCATATGGAGACTTATCTCGAGGACATCTCAAACAGGCGATGCATTGTCACGAACTGAGTTCGCTCTTAGCGTCTTCAAACTAGATTAATAAGTAAAAATCACAATAAAAACAAATATAGAAAAATGTTATTTTTATTACCACATAATACAGCGCCGTAATAATTAACTTATCCTAATATAAAGATTATTGAAATTAATGAAATTGAAATCCAGTTAATTTTCCTTCAATTTCTTTAGGTTTTAAAACATTACTCAATCTGTTAACAAAATTTGATACCAATTTTTGGCACAGTATTAGTAGGGGCAATGAAAGCACAGCGTATCTCACAAAGGACCGAAGGGTAAGCGTCGTTTATATCGAAATTGCATTAGCGATGCGTCTGTACAGACTTAATAACCCTATATATACAATACCCCCAATGATAATAATAATAATAAGTACTGCTTAAATCTAGCTATGGCGTGGTAATGGTAATAGCGATGATCAAATATTGCATTGTAATCCTTTCCTCATGCCCTCGCTTGGGGTGGAGGAGGCTCAGTCCTAAGTTCCTCCGACTGCAAGTTGTCATTTGTCCAATTCGATTGTAATGGTGAACGCTTTAAATGGTACAAGAATTACTTTGAAGAGTGATTAGAAATCACTTGGGTGCTTTACATAACAGACATTTCTCTCTTATGATAAAGAGAAGCATTTTGAAAATTATGGCAGGACACTATCGGCTATCATCCGGATTTCCATATCGCTGTGTCCCTTCACTTTTCTGTGTTTTTGCAAGCATAGTTTGAGACTCGTATATCTTTTAGTCACTCTAATAGCTACGTGAAGTTCGCATACGTCAACAGCTTCATCACATTACTTTCTCCCTGTGCAGTAAACATAACAGTTATTAGCTATTTTGAAGGCGAAGCCTCATTACGCCCAATTAATTCCAGGCGGCAGGGATCTCAATAGGCGACTTGATGTACGTGAGGATACCATTCATCAAATGTACATAGGCTATATTCAAGTATGCTAGCAGATATCGCGAAGCAATTTCTTCGTATTCGCAACAACAAAACAAATCCTCTTCGAGCAACTTTTGTTACTACTAGGTACCACTACTAGATGATTTTGTACGTATAAGGGTATAATTTTTGGCACTTTGCAGCTATTGTGTTGCTGGTTTGAACGCTGCCTCAAGGGCTGACCAAAGAACTAAGGCTCTTGTTTAGCAAGTGGTAAAGTAAATTTTGTTGCGATTTTAAATAGCAAATTATGATCTTGATCACATCTGAGTCAATTAATAAAATTATAATTATAACATATATACACATAAAATTGTTTTACTCTGTAATTAATACTCTGTAATAAAAAGTTCTGAAGACACACGACCTCTTCGACACGTTTACTGAAATAATCAAGGCAGTCCATACTATTTAATTCGTCGATCCTGAATCGGTCGGCGGAATCGTTCATCCATACATTCATGTAAGCTTAGAAATAGATAAAAAGATAATTATTTCCACAATAAACATTTCAAGAGGTCTGAATACAATGAACATGAATGCACAGCTGTTGCCATATGCGGTAGAAACGATCTTTGCTAAATTATAATTATTTATTATAAAGTAATTGCGTCGGTTAAGCGAAGCCAAGCTCTCCGACAGTGGACGGGTTGCAACGCATTAAGACGGATCGTAGGGAGACGGGACTCTCTACTATCGAGCCTCGCTTTTCGGATGAAAGGAACAACGCATGGCCTTTCATGCTAGGAAAATCATCATAGGGGCGCCCCTACTCACTGCGTTCTAGGCAAATTGGAACTTCGATGAAACACTATTTATGGGAGACTTGTAAAGTACGCATTTGTATAGATTTTCGACGCGGAAACCATTTGAGCACAGATGACAGCTATTATAGTGCGATGGTATAGCAATGGATTTCCTGAAAAAGTTCCATGAAAAAGAAGCTGCGCTCCAGAATCGATTTTTGTACGCACAATAACACCACATACCGATCGCCTTCAAGCTCTTCATTCAACAAAAAGTTGCATAAGATGGCACTTCGGTAAAACTAAAAACTAGGTATTTCCACCTAGACTGGCCATCTCTGTAGAGTATGTATTCATTTACAGGTACAAATAGTTTATAAGACACAGAAAAACCAGACTGTGGTTGAAGTCTGCTTAGTCTGGCAGACTGGCAACAGTGCGACCTAGTTCCGCCAACTATAATTTTTTACTAAGGCTAAACACTTGGAGACGTTCAATGTAACCTAGACTACTGACGCGAGAAGACACAGTCAAATACATGCACGCATGAAAACGTCTGAAAGAATGTTTCGTTTAAGCTCAAGTGTACCATGGTTACGCCAGG